AAAACAGTTAAGGTCAACAGTTTGTACCCAGACAGATCGACAGAGAGAGAGAAAAAGAAACCGAAATCTGCAAAGGTGAAGGATCGAGGGATACAAGAATAAATGCTTCTAAATGCTTCTTTAAAATACACTTTTAAAAGAAACATCAACCTGACGGGACGTTTAAGTGGCTGTTTCCAGTAACTATGATGATAGCTGATGGCAGAAATCTAAAACATTGGTTTTAAATGTCCAGTATTGCTATGAAATCCCTCCTAATCGAAGAGTGGTTGCTTTCCAGTTGGCATTTTGTACTGTTTGACGGGAAGAACTGCATCGTGGAAGCAGCTCAAACTGCTTTCCACAACCACGGGATTAGGACGTAGACCAGAATGCAATGTAGCTGTAAGAAAAGCTGTATACCGAGTAAGGATTTATAGAAAGTCTCCAAAATCTCAAAATCTTCAAAATGCACGGTGTAGATAAAATAATGTCAGCACCTCATGAAAAGGTCCGAACATCTGAAGTAGCTTAAGCGCAACGACAAACACAGTTACGGAGGCAGGGTGTGTTGGGCTGAATGCTAATTAGCAGCATTTTTCATCTATAAAAGCAGTCTGGCAATCAGAGTTTTCAAAGCAACACGAAACAGCTAACAGAGCTGCAAAGAGGCTGACGCATCTGTGCTCAATTTAGGCCCAGTTCTCACGGAGAAACGTTAAGATGTGAGGTGCGTTGCAAGGAGGGGAGAAAGAGATGAGCTGCAACTGCCAAATGCAAAAAGTAGTCGAGACTTGGGGTCGAGGTCTTTGTTTGTGGTTTGACAGGTATGTCCTGCTGCTTCTTCTGAAGTGATGAAGCATTTTCAAAAATGTTTTCTGCAACAAAGAAAAAACACACACCTGCCCATTGAACCTTGACTCTGATCTTAGATCTTAACCTGCAGCTCTGTGCAGTATTTTACACCTCTGGGTCCAGTTTGAAGCTGCTTACCCAGCTCTCAGCCTGCCAGCGGCATTTTTATTTTTACTTTAAGTAAAAAAACAAGTTAAATGTGAAGCACTTTCCGTGACAACGACAAAGTCGAGCCGCACCTGTCCATTGAAACACGTGGAGTTGAAAAGTATTTTAGCAAAGCGAAATGTCTTTGTGTGGGTGAAGCTTAAAAAAAACTGCAAGAAATAATTCAAGAAGAAATCAAAAGTCAAGAAGAACATTCTGGTAAGTCATGATAATATGCGCTAAACACAGCAAACGGAATCAACCACAGTATGGTTACAGTTGGAGAAAGGTCATGGTAATGACAAATAAACTATGGTTACGGCTAGAACAGATCGTGGTTACAGTTAATAAAAGGGAAATGTCTATTACAGGTGTGTACCTCCACACCCTTACTTTTCACCTGGCCATGTAAAGGGCACGTTACTTCTGCCAGTGGCGCTTAATATTGGCATTTTATGTAAATTGCCGAATCATCTAATGTGGATGTTTTTCTTGGGGATACTGTGCTGAACACAAATATAATAGAAATATACACAATACATGGCCTACATTTGCAGCAGAGTTAACTTTAAAGGAGACAACTTCTTTCATTGATTAATTAAGTGTTTCCATTATTTTGGGCAAACACTGTAAGACACAAATAAGACTTTAAATGGGAAACGACAAATTGCAACTCAAAAGCTAGCATCATTGTGATGTTTCCGGTAAAACGTTCATTAACATCACATTACCGTTCAAGGTTCGTCATCAAAACACGTTGTTTGTGTTGTTAAAGGGCCACGCCAACAATTTCACTTGTGCAACCAAAGTCTGAGACCCTGATGATGTCTCAGCATTGGCTCAGAGACTACACATTTTTGACAAAAAGCCTGTATTACAAACTGAAAGATACAGGCATCTTATGGGAGGTGTAGTATCTTGTGTTTTTGGAGTTTGACAAATACTAGGGAATAAAAGTCAAGACACCTCTGCCTCTTTAAGGCTTTACTAACATGCTGAGTGCATTTCTACCTCATATAGCTACCACAACAGTAGCAGCTATTAATCATGTGATCAGTGGAAGAAAGGGGTAAAAGATGAGCAGATGTGGCTAAACATGAACGGCCAGTTGTTTCAGCACCAAATCTTTTCATTTTTAGTTGATACTTTCATTCAGAGTGACTTGCAGCAACTGAGCAAGTAGTTAGCTTTGTGTTTCCTACTTCCTTTTAACAGCTCTTGGCGGCTAAAGCAGCTTTTCATTTGATTGTATTAAATGTATCACAGCTTCTCTGCAGGACTCTGAGCCACAAATTACACCGTAAACCAGAACCACTGAGGAGAAGTTTGAAGCTTCAGTCAGTGGAATGCTGTAGAAAGACGAAACAAACAGGAAATAAACTACCTGCTAAAATTAGTCCCTGAACACACATAAACTGAGCATGCCTAAGAAGCCCTCTCTCTCACACACAAATACACAAACATACTGATGGTTTCCTGTAGCATGAGCGTTACAGTAGCTCCTAATGTTAATTTCCATCATAATACAAGGGAAAAAGAGAAGAATTTACCCTTATCTACATCATTTTTAAAAAGCCCTCGAGACCTCATCTCTCTTTCTGTAATATAAATGTGGGACCAAACTTTTTTTTTTTTACAGCGCCTCATAGTACTGCTTCTATGGTGTGTATGTTAACGTGTGTGTGTGTGTGTGTGCCTCACAGTCATACATATCTCTTTCCCCAGGAGTAAACTGGGGTCAAACCAGTTAGTGTTGTCACGGCAATTTGCAGTTAGGCCTCTGCATGTTTGTTTGCTTTGCAAGTTTTTTTTTTTTTGCATGGATTTTATGCATACATGCATGTGTGTTTTTACTGTATATGTGTGTGCGTGTGAGCTTGTGTGTGAATGATTTGTTTGTCTGCGAGTGTTGGTGTGTATGCCCGATATGTGTGTGTGTGTGTGTGTAACACAGTAAGCTGCCCTCCGGCTGATATATATTCTTTTCACTCAAAGAGCCCATTTACAGTTCTGGGGTCGGCTCCCTCTCGCTCTGCCGTGACCCGGACCGTTTAGAGGTCAGCGTCAAAGCTGAACTCAGGTCAGCTCGCTAACTGAGTCCAGCACCGGTCCTCTGGGGGTTTACCGACAGCCAGGTTGCTCAAAGCACAGGGCAGGGGCCCGAAATGGACTGGGCGGCTTCTTATGGTGGGACCCCTCGTAAAAAAAAGAGGCAAAGATGTTTACTATATCCTTGGCAGGAAGAACTTTGGGCAACTTACTGCATTACAAGCTCATTTTTAGCATCTGCCTCTAAACACTCATTGCTGTGGTGTTTCAAACATTAAACTAGGCGTGATAGCAGACACTGAGTGTCATTGGTTATATTATACTGGTTGGATAACTGGGATTAGAAATTAGAAAAATTAAGGTATTGCCCATATTAAAGTTGTTAAACACTCATTTAAGAAATCCTAGTTCCTTAAAGTTGTTCCTAACCTGGAGGTTAATGAACATAAGCTCTTGTAAAATAGTTGCTAGGATAGGAAAATGTAGGATTTTACTTCTTCAGGCCAGGTTAAGTGTGAAGAAGGAATTACCACTGTTTGGTTGGTCACAACCTGTAGCCACGTGCAACCTGTGACAAAAAATGATGGGAACCAGTGGCATACAGAATGGGTTAAAGTATCTCTTAACACTTGTCCATTAAATATTAATATTTCAAGATGTTACAGCTATAAAGAACTGAAGCTGAAATTGATCAAATCCTTGAGGAACCACATCAACATCTTTTAAATTCGTTCGCTCTGGTCCTCCTGGATGAGATGTTTCATTTACTGTACTGGAAGCCTGAGCTGAAAATGTTTTGAGAACCTCTGACCTCAACTATTCATCGGGCGAAGTTAAAGCTGAACTCAGATCACATCCTGGAGGCATCCTGAATCAGTTTTCATTGAATTAACCTGGTGTATACGGCTTTTTTAAACATCTGCAGTCCGCTACCTTCAGTGTATACGTTTACTTTTGCTCTGGGAGCCCGAGATGATGGAAACATCAGTAACTTTTAGCATGTGGGGACTCACCAGAAATGGTCTGTTTGGGCCCCAAACCACAGGGAGAAAAAACACTTACTCAGAGCTTTTAGAGGTGAAGATCAAAGCTAGAGTGAAGGTTAGATCCTAAGAGGCTGTTTTGAACTAATAGCCAGCATAGGAATCGCTGCAGAGCTTAAACTTGAAAGGTTCTGGTCAGGTTTGCAAAATAGCATCAGCATCATTTGGCAACTTTTACAGCAAGTTTGGGTGACGGTGAGGACGAGGAGAAAGATTATGATGTTGGGAAAGGTGTTGATGGGGATTGCTGCAACTTTACAAAGCATCACTAAAATGTAAGGTGATCTACTTTTGACCATTTATTTCTGGCATGTTTCTCATGCGCAGTCAAACTGAGCATAAAAAAGTTGAGGTCCAGAAATAACAACAAGAAAAATAAGAAGTAGGAGATGAGGGGGCTCTCCATCAACTGTCAGCTAAACAGGGTGGAGTTTTGGGGGATTTCCTCGATATAATGTCCTTTCACACCTTCTCTACTGGTGTGGGAAATTCCCAATTATTTCGGCAAATTTCCTCCACATTCTCTCTCTTGGCCCAGGCATCCTTTGAAACCAATGTTTTCTTTCGCTTTCTTCAGGCTTAAAAGTTTTAGGAATCCCCACCTGCTTATGTAAATCTTTATGAAGTGAATGTGTCCTGAAGTATGAATTACAGTGAACTATATCAAAATGGACTTTGAAATAACCTAGACTATCAGTTGATGTTCGATGGGCTAAAAACCTGAGATCTGAAAACCACAAATCAACTACCAGTAAAGCAACCTTTGAGTCATAGATATTGATTAATAATCCTACCACCAGTCTTTATTTGTCCAATGGAAAAGGTCTCAAACCCATATATTTAGGACATTTCTTAAGAGTCCGTGTTGTTGAAATCCGTAGAGCTCTAAGATTGATCTTTATATCTCCTCTCTGTCCTTCTGTCTAGGGTTCAGGCTTCCACGCATCGCGGAGGCAGAAGTACGGCAATGTGTTCAAGACCCACCTGCTGGGCCGCCCTCTGATCCGGGTGACTGGCGCAGAGAACGTGCGCAAGGTGCTGATGGGGGAGCACACGCTGGTGACGGTGGACTGGCCGCAGAGCACCTCCACGCTGCTGGGACCCAACTCGCTGGCCAACAGCATCGGAGACATCCACCGCAAGAGGAGAAAGGTCAGGACAAAAACAAATACAAACATACATGCACATGTTGGAGATGTTTGAGGGATATATGAGGTAAGGAAGGGGAAAACTGACACGTGAGCCCCTTCACTTCATGAATACTCTGGGAACTTCACTTGTCAGGATCACGTTTCTTTTTCTTTTCTGTAAAAGTCACGCTGCACAAAGAAAGACTTCCATAATACTTTGTTAACAGCTAAAAAATTTAATGCAGTCACATTAGCGGAAAGGCTACAGCATACACTGGGATAAATGTGAAATACCTGCCTTGTTCCACCTTTTAAAGGCAACACTGTAATACATTTCTCAGAGGCAGAAGAGAAAAAATAAAGACAAAATCAAAATCAGCTGAGTCACCGTACATTTTCAACTTTCTAAAGAATAAAAATACAGAAGAATCGCTTATTCTGTACCTGCAGCATGTGAGCAAGTACAGCCGTTAAATGGGAGCCTCAAACTAACAACTCATATTTTTTTTACACTATACTTTACTTACTAAGGAATTATATAGTTGATGGTAATCAGGGGCTTGCTCATCTAGGGAATATTTTTTAAAATCTCTGACTGATTATAGTATTTTTCAACTCACTCCTATTTTCCAGCACTGTGGTCAGAACAAAAATGGATCTTAGAGTTTCTTTATTGCGTACCAGAAACGAAATGTGGCAGCTCCATCTGTATCTATCCTGCCATGCTTGCCATTTTGGAACAATTCACTAACTATAGTGATATCTCAACATCAAAAATAACGGCAAAAGTGTTATAGATTTCATGTCTGAAAGAGGCTATATACGTAATGTACAGTTAAGACCGGTATAAACAAATACACACACACACAGTAATCTGAGTCACCTGCTGCACAATGAGGAAGGTAGGACACACTCTTCCACACACACACACACACACACACACACACAAACAGAAAGAGAGAGTATCAGTGTAAAGCTATCCCGTCCTCTCAGTCTTATCAGCAGTGTTCTGGCTACTGAAGCGTGAGAACAACTCCTCCGTCGCGTCATCCTCCCCTCCACTCGTCGAAATGGAGAGAGAGAGGGATTTTAGTCAATACCAACCCCTCCTTTGATTATCTGTTTTTCGTCATATCTTCTCTACTTCATTTTTCCAATTTCTCCCTGATTTTGATTCCCTTATATTTCTTTCTCAGTCTTTCCTTTTCACCTCATGTCTCTCTTTACTTTCCTTTTCTCTCTCTCTTTTCTGTGCCAGGACCATTTCAGGTAATCAACCACTTACCTCTCCCTCCTATTATCCCGTTATCCCCGGGGCACATACCTTCCCTCTCTCTCTCTCACACACACACACACACACACACACACAAACAGGACCTGAACGAGAAGAACAAGAAGCAGAGTCTGGTGTGTTTTCCTGTGAATCAGTCTCTAATTTTCTCTATCTGGATCCTCCGTTGAGGGGGAAAGGAAGGAGGGAGTTGTTTTTTTTTTTTGAGGGGTTTGGAGGCGGGGTCAGGTTTCGTTACCGTGGTGCCTGGGGACAGTGAGGGGTCGGTTGGGTCTAATCTGTGCTCTGATCCCCTCTCCTCTCCCTGGAGACCCCTGCACTAACCTCATGTAATGACCCCTGATTAAGGAAGGCTGCCTCCAACACAGCACAAAGAGGGGCTTTCTGTGGGGGCCCAAAACACACACACACACACACACACACACACACACACCTATAACAGTACACAAAGCATATGTGCACAGATACCTGAACATTCCCCTGCCCTCAACCCAAACAGCCAGATGCAAGGTCGGCAATGTTGCTTATAGTTGTAGGTTTAAGATCTGTGTTGCAAAGCAACAACACCGTTGAAGTGCCTTTGTGCAAGACAAGCAATCTCCTACCTGCTGCTATTCTCTCCATGACCTCTGACCTTCCTGAGGATCCAGAAAGGAAAGAGGTTTTCCCTTCAGAGATCAAGTGATGAAGCGTCATATCATAGAGTGGCTCGAATTTAAACTACCGTATTACAACCATGCTGTCAGAAACTCCAACTGCAAGTTAAACTGAGCTAATGAAACCCTGTAATGGCCAATTAACTTTAAAAGACACACTAAAAACGGAATTGAACACACACACTAGCATGTCAACATTATAACAACCCACAAAGCAGCACTGTCTGTAGGAGCCAGTGTTACATTGGTGCTCTTTCCGTTCAAAAAGAATATGTGATCTTGTGCCAACTGTCTAGACCTCAAATGTAAGACCACACTGACTTTTTCAAGTGTCAAAGCCAGAAAAAAAAAACATTCTCGTATATTTAGGCCAATATGGTAATAACATCTGACTTTTTTTATAAATACATGTATTTCAGCCTCCGTCCAGTTAAAAATGCAAGTGTTTCCATTTCCTGTAACAAAACACTCTCTGTACGGAAGCCCTTTCCTGACAAATGCACAGGAAATTTTACGTGCATTCAGTTTGTTCGGAAGAAACAGGCTGCAAAATAGTACAAACAACGTTAGTGATGGACAGACAAAGAAAAAACTGACAAAATAAGGAGGTATGATTGACTGACAGGTGCAAAAAAAAGTTACTTGACCCTTATCACTCAGCTCTAAATGCACATATATAGATGCGTACAGTCTTGCTCAGTAGCAACTCAACAGGACATGTGGTGGCAGGAGGGTCAACAGACAGAGACAGACAGACAGACAGACAGAGAAAAAGAAAGTGAGAGAAGGAATGGCAAGGATTTCTGCATAATAAAACTAAGTCAACAGACAGAAGTGAAACAACATCAACTGAGAGAAAGAATGAACGACTGGCTTACTGTCTGTCTGACCCACTGGACCAGAACTGCTCCTCTGTTTGTGTGTGTGTGTGTGTGTGTGTGTGTGTGTGTGTCTGTGTGTCGGCCCTCCTTGTGGTTTTCGTATGGAAAAACAATCTTCACACAGCACATTAGCCATCGGTAGATCAACAGAGTCAGCCAGTTTCCATATAACCCCGTGTTAAGCTAGGAAACTTACTCCATCAAAAGAGCCACAGCGGCCTGGTTTTCCACTACAGGCCAATCAGGGCCAAACGTGGCCAGCCGGGTCTTACACACCATCCTGAAAACAACATCAAAAATATGTATTTCTGCTGCAAAGAGACTTTATCACTTTCGTTACCCTATCAAGGCTCTAGTCCCATGGGCTCGTGGACGACTGGGAGTTAGAGATGGTTCACAAATGGAGCCAGTGTTGCGGCTTTTGCACTTTGCCTGATATTTCAATGCAAATGTAGCAACAGAACTCAGTTATGACAATCCTTTTATAGGATCCTAGTGAGGCTCAAGACTTTTATCTCTAAAGACGGATTTCTTCACTCGGATAAATGAGAGTTTCCTAATAAACATGACAAAAGTGGGATTTTTTGCAGAAAACAGCTGTCTGCTTTAACAGAAAATGACACAGTGAGAGCGTTCAGAGTGAACCAAAACTGCTAAGTTGTCGACCGCAAAACAGAAACAATGAGCTTAAAGATGATAAAATAGCCAATAGAGCTGCAAGGGCAAAGTTGGGTGAGGATTCCCTGTGGGTTTTGTTAAAAGGAGCGACCCATGTCACGTACAAGTAGACATGTGATTCCTTGTTCATACAAAAATATTGATCTTTGAATGTCTCGTTTTAGTTGTTAAATGTTAGAATCCCAACAATGTTCTTGCACACCATAAAGTTGTTAATGACAGTCAGTATGTCACCTTCATTTAAGCTCAGGTCTTTAGTTTTCAGCATGCAAATGACCCAAAACCAAACATTAATTTGACCTTTTGTACCATTAGCTGTACACAATAAAGAAAACATATGATTAAGGACCATTTCTTTACCTTTCCCAATATAAACTAACAAAACACACAATACAATACAATGCTGTAGTAAACATGCTGAGGTGGCCTCAGTAAGCCCTACCTGACCTGCAGTGGAAAAGTGTCCCTTCATACTGAAATAACATTGGGCTTAGGATTTTAAAGGCACTTACACACACATGCAAATACACACTATGTTGACAGTGGCAGCCAGTTCTTTATTTTCACCCTTCTGACATACCTCTCACTTTTCTGTCCCTCCACTATTTCAATTCCCTCATTCCACTTTTTTCTAGCTCCACATTTTCCTTCCTCCTTGTTTTTCTTTTTTTTTTTGGAACCAACCCTCCGGCACTAAATATAGGAAAAGCAGGAACAGGGTGAGACAGCGAGGTAGATTGGACAGGAATAAAAGAAGTGGATGGATTCAAATTGACCTCTGCCTCAATTTAAGTGTCACTTTTAACCTGACATCTTCAACTGGTTTTCTGTCTGAAATATATATATATATATATATATATATATATATATATATTTTTTTTTTTTTTTAAATAGTGGCGAATCAGTCCAATTTTCCTTTCCACTCTTTCCTCTTTTCTCAGTATGTTGATCTGCATGCCTCTCTCTCTCTCCGCGTGTGATGTGATGTCTCTTTCCTGTACTTTTGCTCATCACCAGTAGAGGGCACCGCCAATTCTAAATGAACTGAAGCCCATTCTGTCTGTCCCCTCTCTGCTTTACTCAGTTTTATCAGTCTCTAAGGCCAAATTTAAAGAAAATATATATCAATGAGGAGTTGTTGCAGAGTTTAAACAACGTTTTTGCAGGGAGGTGAACCATGCTTCACTGTTGTCTTAAGAAAACCTCATGGCTGCAGTTCAGGTGATTTTCATATTCCCATTCCAGCTGAGAAAGTACAAGGTCCTCTGTTGGTTGAGAAAAGCCACCAGGAATGATCATGAATCTTAATCCATGCAGAAGTCCACAGTGGTAGAAAAACTTTAATTACAAAGTACTGTACAATAATACATGTTCAAATACTGCAGCAGAAAGAAATACTCTTTTACTCTTTACTAAGTAGTAATATCTCAACATAAAAACACTGCTACAAAGTAAAAGTCTTGCACTTAAGTAAAAGCACACAAGTATTATCAGCAAGATATACTTAAAAGTACTC